CCACGAAAAGTAACTGATATATTACTAAATGTTCCAGTTTAAAGTGAACATACATTATGTTATTTTCTATGTTATGTACCACGAAAAGTAAATAAAAACTACAAAAATTGAACCTATCAAAATTAAAACGATTACCTAATCACAAAATAAAAAACCCAATGAATATCATCCTTTGAAAATTGACCCCAAAAATTTGTACCATTCTAAATTAAAATGATTATCTAATAATGTAACCTAATAATTTAAACCTTTAATACTTTAAATGATATTATCTAATATAATATATTACCACGAAAAGTAACTGATATATTACTAAATCTGCCAGTTCAAAGTGAACGTACATATAACGAATATTTTCTATGTTGAATATGTACCACGAAAAGGAACTGATAGATTATTCAAGGTGAAAATTCAAATTGAACATACATACATATAAGTAAAACAGATTAGAATTTGTATATTACAGTTTTCTAGAAAATAACTGCAATATGTTATTCTTAGTGCACAAAATATAAAAGTTGGTTATTGAGATTTAATTTGAAATTTATACTAGACCGTACAATAAAAAATAATTGCTTGTAATTTCAGAGTATCAATTTGTTAATGACTCAAAAAAGAACATGGCGGCCTGCTCTCAAATTTTGATGAGTTTCTCGATGTCAAAAGTAATGTCAAAACTATTACAGAGTAGGTATAATAACACATGAAATACAAAAAGTATTGCATTAGAACCGTATCTTTAAAAGCTCTATAACGAAGTGAATACACAGAATTATGTAGAAATGTAGAATTTTTCTTCTTTAATTTTTAATTCTCTCTCTGCCAATCAATGGTTAAAGCGAATATTTAAATTAATCATTATCGAAACACTGTTACATTTTGTAGCACTTTGTGAACCAACTGACAAACAACATACATGATAACTATGATAGTTATACTTGATAGGCTTCTCTTAATCTAAACTATTTTCATAACTTTTACTTCAACTATTTGTTTCATCCATTGCAAGTTTTTTGAGAGCAGGCCGCCATGTTCTTTTTTGAGTCATTAACAAATTGATACTCTGAAATTACAAGCAAT